ATATATATATATATATATATATATAAAACATTAGAATATAACATTTCTGTAATCTATATAACCAACCAGTCAACAGTTTTTGATCAGTAAGATTTTTAATGTTTTATAAAGAAGTCTCTTCTGCTCACCAAGCCTGCATTTATTTGATCCAAAGTACAGCAAAAGCAGTAATGTTGTGAAATATTTTTACTATTTAAAATAACTGCTTTCTATTTGAATATATTTTAAAATGATTGCTGTGATCAAAGCTGAATTTTCAGCATCATTACTCCAGTCTTCAGTGTCACATGATCTTCAGAAATCATTCTAATATGCTGATTTGCTGCTCAAGAAACCTTTTTTAATTATTATTATTATTATTAATGTTTTTTGAGCAGCAAATCAGAATATCAGAATGATTTCTGAAGGATAGTGTGACTGGAGTAATGATGCAAAAAATTTAGCTTTGAAATCACTATAAATTACATTTTAAAATATATTCAATAGAAAACAGTTATTTTAAATAGCCTAGTAAAAATATTTCAAAATTTTACTGTTTTGCTGTACTTTGGATCAGATAAATGCAGGCTTGGTGAACAGAAGAGACTTCTTTAAAAAACATTGAAAAATCTTACTGTTCAAAAACTTTTGACTGGTAGTGTATAGTCAACTTTAATTTTTCTCTCATTTCTAGCTTTTAATTGGCTTAGAAATCAGATAACTGCTGGACAATAACCAATTATAATGATTTGTTTATATACTACAAACACTTTTTTATCGCATAATAAGGCAGAATAGTTTCAATACTGTTACTGTAATAAATGCTATGTCAGTTAGCGCTGCATTGTTCATATACTTTATTTATTATCTGGAGATGACTTGACAAACACAAATAAACCATATATTGTCGCAATTGTATGTTTAATATATTCATGTTCTGTTTTCATACAGCGATAGCTGGACGCTTTTGTCCATATTAGGAATTTCCTCGTATGACTTTCTGCGCGAGAGCGCCCTCCGGCTTCGAGTATGAATGAAACATACACTGCACGGAATGTTTAGCGCTCCGTGATGTTCATCTCGCCTTATTCTGGGTCCGAATAAAACATCAGATCATGCACAGACTATCCTGTCTCTTTGAATTTAAATCTATATTTATTCACACCGGCTCTTGAAAACCTCTATGCGAACACACTTGCCCGAAAAAGTGCGGGGGACGAATTTACGTGCTATTAGAAGTGGGGGGGGGACACGTCCCCCGCCCGATTACATGCAAGTAACCCTAAGCATACATGTAGTTAATTAATATTACTCAGTACTTAAATAATTACACTGTAACAAGGACACCTTAAAATAAAGTGTAACCCAATCTTTTAATGTATTATTGAATAAAATATTAATGATTAAAGAAAGAAAAAATTAATAGCTATAATATGGACTATTGTAAATGCTCTGTGATACTCCGATACTGTGGTTTCCTTCTCACATTGCTGATTTCACCATTAACTCTTCATCTGAATAGTTTATGTTGCTGTATATGGTGTCATTGTCATCCTTGACCATCAAAACATAGGGGTAGACATCACATTTTCTGTGTTATCATGTTTGGTTCAGGAGATATGACACAAAATACATAATTTGGTTATGGTGGTAGGAAGGCATCAGGCATGTCTGAATCCAGTGTTAGCTTCAATTCCTGTTTCCTGAGATACCTTCATCTGATGGATTTTTGAAGGCAGCATAGATGTATCCTTAGCTGCCTTTGATATCCCACAATCCTGTGTGTTCTACTCTGTGACAGCTTAGCAAAAAATAAAATAAAAATGGCGCCTGAAAGTTGCAGTTGGTGGTCTGTTTGTGTGCAAATGTGTTTTTTACCAACTTTTTCCACTTTTAACATAAAATGTTAAACGATTGAGACAAACTGAACAAGTTTCACACTAACTGGAATGGAATAAATAGTCCCTGAACTTTTTTTGTGTGTGTGTGTGCTGAGTTTACAGACATAGTACTGATGACTGGAACAGGTTGGTCAGTTGGTTAAGACAAAGCCCATAAGGAGAACAAGTGTCATTTGTAAATTTTATTTACAACCATGATCTGGCATCATGATGTTAATTAAAAATTACAAATCTTAAAAATCTTAAAACAAAAGACAGAGGTAAAAGTTTCCATGTTCTTTATGGTCTCATCTTCTCATGAATTTCTTCTCCAGAGCAGCAGGGTTCCTCTGAATAGAGTGAATGTTTCTCTTCACACGGTCTTCCAGAGAGGAGGTGGCAGCACTCTCTAGTTTCATGTCACTGTAAACAGATTTACAAATGAATTAATGGACAATTTATTATTATCCAAATCATTTTATGGCTGACCAAACACAAGAACATAATTTCCAGCAGAGCTTAGTGCTAAGTGCTTTGCCAATGTGCACATTTATTTTAGGTCAATTCAGGTTTCATTAATTTAAATACTGACTGTATGAAGCCAGCATGACGGTCCTGTTTGGCATTGTCTCTGGCTTTCTCCTGTTCCTCTTGTCGCTTGTACCTCTGCACATTATTTTGCCTTTCCACTTTTCTTTCACGGGCAAAATCCATCATTTCCTTTCTCTTTTTTTCCAACTCTTCAGCTGAGATGTGCCTGAGAGAGGGGGGAAATGTAGTTACATTCTATGTACTATGCATTTCACAAAACTGAATGTCTTCTACAGTAAAACAAACTAATGAAATGTATTCATGCCAAAGTTTTTAAATAAGAAACTCATGTTCAGAGTAATTGATATAGATAAGAATAAAACATTCATGCTTGCTATATGTGGTAGATTAATTGATCAACTCATGAACATATCATACTTGCTGTAATTAGTGTATTGTCTTTGATTGCGGTCTCTGTGTCTTGATGGGCTGGGGGCTTTGGTTTTAGGTCTCTGCTCTGTCACTCTAAAGGAGTGATTGTCCCTGTCTGTTTTATGAGACAACGGGGACCGACTCCTGTCTCTTGAACCGTGATCTGTGTGGTTAGATACTGAAGATCTGTTTGCTGGTAACTGAAATGGTTAAGGAATAAATCAGGTACAATAATTTCACAAATTTAAGATGGCAAAATCATATTTGATAACAATTACCAGATCAGTGTTAAACAGCAGTGTGGATGTCATAAGTGAAAATAAATGAATTTGGTAATGCAGATCCAGTAACTACTTTAATCATCCATTACTGAGGTCAGCATGAATGATTATGGCTAGAGCCCGACCGATATGGGTTTTTTGGGGGCCGATGCCGATACCGATATTAGGGAGTAAAAAAGACCGATGCCGATATTCTTTGTGTAGGCTATATTATAGTACAGTAGTGTTGGGTGATATGGTCAGTTTTCAAATCGTCATATCACCAGTCCGTGAGATCGCCGATAGACGATATTATCGTGCATGGGTGGGTGGGGGCAAGAGAGACTCCCTGTACTTGTCATAGGCTATTTCATAACTATTTGGTGTTTTAAACTGCGCGCGTGAGAGAGAGGGAGCCTATGGAAGCACCACGAATCTAAATAATATACTTTCAAACATACTGATAAACTAACATGTTAAATACAAAAATATTTAAAACAGCTAGTTCATATATATTCGGATACAACAGTCATACATCGCTATTAGGACCGCGCGACCTGTGACAAGTTTGCCGCATCGACGCACGGAAATTATCAGTCTAAAAGGTCTGCAAAATCAGTCAACGGTGAAAATCAAAAGTAGATTTATTTTAAAGACCAACAGTTTAACACTAAATATTGGACATAAACGAACACGTTAAATATAAAGTATTTAAAACAGGTAAGTTCATATATTTGGAGTAAATTTAAATTAAACAGATACAGTCATACAGCGCTCCGGACCGTGCGCCCCATGACGAGCCCGACGCACCGCCACAGAAAAAAAGAATGAAATACGTTCTAACTAGGGCTGCACGATAAATCGCATGCGATATTTAATGCGCATCATGCCCGGGAGACAACAGGCTGTCATTAAGGCTGAGGGTTGCCCGACTAAGTATTCATAGTTGTGTAAATACTGTCATACTAACAGCTGTCTGAATATTTTTTGGTTGATTGTAATCTATTACATACCTTTCTATCAGAATTATCTAGCGTTATCAAGATGAATTTGTTCTGACACCGTTTAACTCTGAGTTCTTGTCATGTTTTATTACCATTTTCTAAACTATAGCAAATAAACTGTGATAATGTGAGAAATGTTGAAGGTGTCTGAATAAATTTTGGTTTGACTGTATCTATTTGATAAATGAAGTTAACCAACTAACATTATACATACCCTTTTGGTTTCTGTACCCAATATTTAAAAAATGTACAAATGCAATAAAAATATCAGTATCGGTACTCGGTATCGGCAAGTACCAAAAATAAAAGTATCGTATCGGGCGAGTACTGGAAAAAGTGGTATCGGTGCATCCCTAATATATATATATATGTACTGACCTGTTTTTTATTTATTCATCAAAAATAAGACAAATTCCATGAAATTCCGCGTTATACAGTAAATTCCGTTTTTATGACCTGATTCCGCGATTCCATCCATGTTTTCTGCATCACGGAAATCATTGGGCCCTACTAATGAGTATGATAAGCTCACTGTGAGAGTAAAAGACAGGGACATTGTTGTTTATTTACTTAGCACTGAGTCTCACCAACTAGGTGACAACGTAGCGTTAAATCACCATTCAACAGACTCAAGCCACCACGCACTGCCGTCTATTGGACTGCAGAAAGATACTAACTTTTCAATCTGCTACGTTACTGACTGTACTGACAAACTATGCTGACACCGTGTCTGCGCCGCAACAGAACGCGACAAAGCGACCGTTGAAAATCATTTGAACTTTGTGTCAGCACGTCATAAATAGAACAAGCCATCAGTTTACTGCATCCAGTGTAGACAATATCACTGATTATAATGGGTTCTATTCTACACCGGACGCGAGCGGCGCAACAAAATAGAATTGAAATGTGATGTGACCGATGTGATAAGCATGAGTTCTGGGCCGCGGCGCAGCGGGTATAAACACCAGCATTGACAGAGTAGCCGCGATCAGCTACGGTGGCCTTAACACAGGCTTTAATGCACCGCAGACGTGTGCCGTGATGCGCAGATCAGCTCTAGTCTCTAACGTCACTGAATCTGCTGTTAAAAATGAGCCATCCATTCATCATATCATCATGCAAAACTAAGAATTAGAATCATTGTAATGTGACGATTAAATATAGGTGCAGGTGGGTGGGTGGCGGATAATTTGAAGCAGCGGACTCGGGTGAAGTTTGAGTTTAAGTTTGAGTTTATCCGCATCTCTACACTACAGTGACCTGGGTCACCAGTAGCAAACATCTACTATTTAATCTGTGTTATATGTTCTGTAAAAAAAAAAATTTCATATCGGCGGCATATTTGACATTATATCGGCCGATAATATCGGCTAAGCGATATACCGGTCGGGCTCTAATTATGGCAATGCAGAAGCTCTGCGCTGCCATATGCCAAGGAACATTATTTAATATTAAAAATTAAATAAAATGTTTAATAAAAATTACTTACTTGAAGTCCATAGCCTGATTTGTGATGTCTATTAGAGGTTGAGACATCTGATCGTTTCTCTTTTGACCTGGTTGGCAAAATAGACACACATATTGACATATTGTTAAATAACTTATTTAAATGAGGTACGCTGTCTCTCAAACAAGGAGCAAAGTTAGATTTATGCCAGCAAATTAATTACTTTTTTATTTTTTTACCTATTCTTTGTGCCATCCTCATTGCAACTTGAACTCCTCTTTCTGTGCTTTTTCTCCTTCCTCCTCTCTTTCTCCTCTCTTTTCTTCTTTTTTTGTTTCCTCTTTTCCTTTTCAAGATTGTGACGCAACTATGTTGAGAAAAAAAAAATGAGAATGCCTTTTTTTTTAAATTCCCATTTAACTCCTGAATTTGAACTGAGGTAACAAACAACATGCATTATTCTAAGTAGAATTTGATTTT